AGGTTTTTAACAACGGGCCGCAGCTCCGTTAGTTTTATTTTCTGGGATACGTATTTTTATTTTATTGTACATGTTATATATAAGTTAATTTAATATTTGTTATGTATTTGAATATATTTTTATTTAGATTAAACTTGAGTTTTACTGAGTCTGGTGTCTAATAGAGGCATCCGTCATACTATTATTTATTTAAATTCTAAAATTGTTCCTTGACTTGAAGGAGATCTAAGTTGGAATCCCACTGGTGTGAATAAAGTTTGATATTTCTAAAAGTTTTAATAAAAGTTACCGCTAGGTATTCGAGTTAATGGCATTTTGTCGTATTCTTAAAATACAAAACTCATTACATTTATCAGAGGTAATAAAATTTTATTATCGACTATAAGTAAAAAAAAAGTTAAACCAATAAAAATGGAAACAAGTTTTCCAATCTCTCTCTAAAAATAACCACTATTTCTATATTGGCAAAACAAATATTTGTGCTGAATATCGAAACTCATATCTAGATTAATCTGCAAAGTTTTTAAAAATTAACAATGATCTTGGGATTGGCAGAGGAAAGGTAAACTAGTTGTTGCTGGCAGAAACAGGAAATTAAATGTGTATAATTCATTATTACTGTTATTGTGCTTCGCTTTTGTTCATCTAGAAGCGCAGAGACGGCCTTTAAACGTAATAAAACCCACGGTTAAGTGGCAGACGAGGTCAGATTCCCGGTACAATATTTAAAAAATATACATCCATTCCACAAAAATGAAAATATACCCTATTAAAATATGTAACACACATTTGGAATGATAAAAGTAAAAAGCCTTAAAATAACTTTATTTCATAAGCTTTATAGCATTAAGTGGATAATCGTATCTTAATCGCAAGAGGACACTCTGCAGTAAAAGGTTAATAGATTAGGGAGACATGCCAAGAAGTATAGATTCGAAATAAATGGGCCAAAAAAATTGGTGTTTCGAAAATCGGATCATTTACAAGAGTTTGTTAAGATACACAACTTAGTTTGTCTTCTTCTTTTAGTACCATGTACAATTATCGAACGTTGGCGATCATATTGGCAATAATAACTTTGTTTACGGCAACTCTAAACAGATTGGTGGATGTTTTAAAATTGTTGGAATATTCGATTACTTGGAAAAAGCACTAATAAATAGAAATAAAGAACCACGAAATCTTAAAAAAAAATAGCTTAAGGTATTAAAAATACTGTGAGTCCTATTATGCTGTTGAGGTCGAAGAAAATGTTCAGAGCTTCAAAAACATGAATATATATATATATATATATATATATATATATATATAATATATATATATATATATATATATTATTTGTAGTCTCAGCAATTGGTCTGTGTGAAATAAAACTCTATTTGTTATTTCTCAATATTTCGTCACGATTTTGTGACTTCTTCAGGAGAAACTGTAAATTTATTATAATTATTATATGTAAACAAAATGAATATTTCAATACTTACAACTTAAGATTAAAAATTTTAAATTTTGATAACATATCCAATTAGATAAATGACATTTTTTTGATTTAATTTATTTGGGAGTTATGGTAACCGCAATATTTTATAGAGTGAATTCCCATTGTACAATTTTTAGCGAATAAGTTTTAATAAACAATTACATATTGTGACAGTATTATCCATATAATAAGGTGCAAAAGTAGAATATTGAGAAAGAATCAGGAACATGGTAAATTGATTTATAAAATGTAATTGATGGTACGTAGTCAGTTATTGGTCTGATGTTGTTAGATACTGATATGAAGATCTATCATATTATATATTGTTTAGTATATTACAGTAGATATTACTTAAATGGTTGGTGTCTGTCATATAATTGATAGATTCTGGAGTTTTATTAATGTGTACCATTTCAAGGAAAAGTCGATTTTTATAATTATCAATTTGTTCTAATATTTTTACATTATTAAAGTGAAAGTTATGTCCTGTCTTTAAGTGGTGGTCTACTAAGGCACAAGAGTTTTTTCGTAAGTTACAGTCACTTTTGTGTTGAGTGACACGTTGTTTAAGCCACTGTTGACTTTGTCCAATATAACAACTTTGACATTGACTGCAATTTATTCTATAAATTATATTACTCATTAGTGAATTTGGAGTTTTAACTTTTATTTTTGAGAACAACCTTGAATTTAGAAGTGGATTGTATTTAATTAATTTAATGTTCGGAAATGTTTTGAAAAGTGGGACAATTTGGTCTGTTAAATTTTTTATGTAAGGTATTTTTTTGTATAAAACTGGTTGTGGATTATTTATTAAAGCTCTATTGTGAAAGTGAGTGTTATAAATAAGTTTTTTTAATATATGTTTTGGGTAGCCATTGTTTAAAAACATTTCAAAAAGTTTCTTTAAATTGACATCTAGGAAACTCCGATCACAGATTGCCGTTACACGATTTTTCATAAGTAGACCACCACTTAAAGACAGGACATAACTTTGACTTTAATAATGTAAAAATATTAGAACAAATTGATAATTATAAAAATCGACTTTTCCTTGAAATGGTACACATTAATAAAACTCCAGAATCTATCAATTATATGACAGACACCAACCATTTAAGTAATATCTACTGTAATATACTAAACAATATATAATATGATAGATCTTCATATCAGTATCTAACAACATCAGACCAATAACTGACTACGTACCATCAATTACATTTTATAAATCAATTTACCATGTTCCTGATTCTTTCTCAATATTCTACTTTTGCACCTTATTATATGGATAATACTGTCACAATATGTAATTGTTTATTAAAACTTATTCGCTAAAAATTGTACAATGGGAATTCACTCTATAAAATATTGCGGTTACCACAACTCCCAAATAAATTAAATCAAAAAAATGTCATTTATCTAATTGGATATGTTATCAAAATTTAAAATTTTTAATCTTAAGTTGTAAGTATTGAAATATTCATTTTGTTTACATATAATAATTATAATAAATTTACAGTTTCTCCTGAAGAAGTCACAAAATCGTGACGAAATATTGAGAAATAACAAATAGAGTTTTATTTCACACAGACCAATTGCTGAGACTACAAATAATATTTAGCACAGTACGGTCGAGAATAATTTGATATATATATATATATATATATATATATATATATATATATATATATATATATATACCATTTTTCTAGTTTTCAAGTAAAAACGTTGCACGCCACAATTTATATAAAGTGACGTCACTTATATTTAAAATTTCCAGAACGTCAACCTTAGAATTCAAACTTTCCTAACATAGCTAATAATACGAAACTCATACGGAACTGCTCGATCTTTCATAGGCGTCAATATGGTATAATATTCAGAAAAATGTAATCATCATTATAATGGGAATTTTAGAATTATATTGATTAAATAACCAAAAATATTTGTTATTGTTATTAATATAAATTTTATAAAATAACTCTTTCGGTCGAATATTCCACAAAATAATATTTTAATTAAATAAAAACAAAATTATATTATTATGCTGTCACCTAGATGGTAAAAGCATAATATAGGTACATCGCTTTAAAAGGGGACAATATCTGGCGAAGAATAATCAATAACGAATTGCTAAAAGTATATGGACAACCAAAACTGACAATACATTCTTAAATTTAAAAACTAAGATGGCTGTTAGCAAGACAGTAAAAAATGAAAGAAAACAGGGAAAATATTATATAGGACAATTGATTTACTTAATGGCCGCCGCACCGGTTAAATAAAATTATAATTAAAAATAGGATAGTTAAGGCAACCGAGACACATGAGCGGATCCCGTAAAAAGGGAAGAGTAAAAAAGTAAAATATTTTTCTGTTTATAATAGTAAAAATATTTACCATAAAGCTGCTTTTCGAGTTATGTGATTATGTGCCAAAGATATCTATAATTTTCGAAAAATCGCATAATTTTTTAATCGCATAACACTGTACAAGTCGATTATTTGCCCAATTATTACATATGGCAGTGAAACATGGACTCTCAAACAGCGGTAAATCAATAAGCTTCTGGTTTTTGAAAGAAAGGTTCTCCGAATAATATTTGGCCCTCAAAGAGATGAATTCACAGGGATTGGAGAAGACGCTGCAATGCTGAATTGGTGACTCTGTATGAAACTGAAAACATAGACATATCAAGGCAAACCGAATAAGATGGGCAGGTCATGTGGTACGATTAGAGGATGACAGAGTGTTAAAGACAATGTTTTTTGAAAGACCAGATGGTAGAAAATCAGTAGGCCGACCGAGAAAAAGATGGTAGGATGATGTTGAAGCCGATTTATCTAGAATTGGAGTGCAACAATGGGAAATAGAAGCGCAAGATCGTAGAGGGCGATAGTGGATGCGGCGAAGACTCACCCCGAGTTGAAGAACAAGAAGAACACAGCTTTTAGATATGTCTGAGATTTGCCCAGAAGTTGTATGATAATTGTATTTTACGAGGGGTAAAAAATGAGAAATATAAATGTCATATTTTTAAAAAAGTTTAGATAGTTTATTAGCAAATTGACCATATGAGAAGTTTTTGTATAAATTTCTGCTCATAAAAATGGTTTTCGATTTTAATTGTAATGCCATTTAGGCATCCAAGAAACACAAAAGATTTAAATTATGTCTCATAATTGCCCCGCTTGATCCCGTGTCATAAAAATTTTAACTAGTATTATTACCTATGAGTGATGAAGATTGTTATATTGATGACGTGAATTAAATAATTTCATTATTCTCCTTGTACTATTATTCTGCGATAGAATAAAACATTTTAATCAAATTTGAAAAATACATAATAATGTTTAATATCGCTTTAAAACGTTAGCAGCAACAGTTGAAATAACTAAATTTAAACAATTATTTCAATGCAGTTTTTGACGTGATGAAAAAAATTTGTGAAAACACTACCGTCATATTTAGCATTAAGAGGTGTAACACTTCTAATAAACAAATAATAAATCCTTACCTTACTATATTGTCCTAAAACATACTTTAAAATCTGGAAAGGTGCAGAATAAAGCAGCGGTTCCAAAGCATCGACCAGCAAACATTTCTGCAGACACAACTTCAACGTATTTTTACACTTATACTTAAGGTCTTGTGAAGATTTGTCGCTTTCGTAGAGGACAATCAATCTGGGAAAAATATTTGCTGCAGCAACTGCTTGCGAATGGTCGGCGCTATGTTTGCCGATCTGGCCAATTGCCCAAACAGTTATAGCTAATAGGGGATCATCCGTTGACGTTTCTAGAAGCTCAGCAAGTAAGACGATAACTTTGCAGCCTATGACCGACATTGCTAGGTGTTCAGAATGGGCTAAAATCATAAAACGTATAAAATGTATTTATTCATTTCTTTAAAACTTTTATATTTGGATAAAATTAGCTACGATCACGTCACAATAACATCGTGACGACGTTGTCCATTTGTTTTTTAAATGTAAACCTTTATATTTTCTGTCAAAATTAAATAGACAATGGAATTCTAAAAACAGCCATTGTCCTAAAGTTCGTAGTTTTTAATAGACAAGGTGTTAAAATTCAAAAAATTAGTGGGGCCGTTTCAAGAAACCATATTTAATTGTTAAGAGCAGAAGCAAAAATTGATTATTTAAATAAAAGATAGTTTAAATAAGACTACCAAAGATAATTGAAATACTATTATAAAAATAATACCTCAATCAACCATGGGAGCTTATCGTCTATGCTTTGCCTAGCTCAGTATCTCAAGTGTGAGTTCGTCTTGTTTTAAACTAGAAATTAAACCATGAACCTCTAACTGATTAGGAAACAATCAACCCTGCGGATCCTTTACAATGAATAGTGGATGATACTTATGGCATCGATGGCATAAATGGGTTGCTTGTGTGGCCTCCCAATTAGATGGTTAGGTCCTCTTGAGAGCTGCAGTTATTCCATATGTGTGTGGCCTCTCAATTAAGTGGTTAGGTCCTAAATAAATAATAAGTCAATAAATCTCCATAATACGGCCAGTAAAATGTTAAATACGGCCAATTAATACACTCCAATAAACTCGTGAATATGGTCAATAAACCCAAAAGAATTCTGCAGACCATAAAACGAAGCTTATAATAATTTTTGCCTTCTTCTATAAATTTCAAAAACAGACAAAAAATTATATTCCCACTACGTTAGGAAAGTTTATTGACAGAAAGTAGAGAGAGTAAATGAAGAATTCACAGATGTCATAGGATGTAGACCTATGATAGAATTAGCTTTCCTGTCAACATAGAACAGAATATTTAGTCTATCGGAAAGAGAGAGAGAGGGCGAATATTTATTTTACCGGAAAAAAAGAGAAACAAAAGAAAAACAGAGGGTGCCAACTACTTTTTCAAGAAAAAAATAGTAAAACGAATCTGAAGGCAAATGAAGTAATAAATTTATAAAGAAATTAAAATAAAATAATTATTTAAATATAAATTAATAAAGATGTGACGTTTATAAAGTTACAGTTTATAAAAAAGTATACGAGCAGCACGTTCCTGTACTGTTTTAACAGGCTGATTTTGTACCACTTGTCGCTGTATAAAAACAATTACATTTGTTAATAAATCCATGTTAATAATTTAAAAGCTAAAATCAACTACAATAACAGTTCTTTCAACGCAGGCAATGAAAAAAATAATATTTTTTGTGGCATACTGTACAAGTACCTCGCTAGATAGAAGAAAATGACAAAAATAGGGTAATGAGACAAAATAAATGTACCTAAGTAAAGATTTAGAAATAAAATAATTTGTAACTTCTTAATTTATACAATTATATTGTTATATTTTTGGTGTGTTCATATATTAAGTAAAGCACAACGTGGTAAAATAATCTCAGTTAACTCCAAAAACTCACTTAATTAAAAATAACACAATTTCTAATTACATTAATAATTATCGCTTACAATTCGACATACTATTAATCTAATCTAATCCGTGCCTGATCTCAAATTGCGTGGAGAATGGGCTTTGAATGGAGTAGGGGCCCTTCAGTGCTTTGCGTAAGACATACTAGGAGGGGAAGTCTTTACCCCTGACACGGCGCGTCCCAATGGCTGATAGGGAAAGCTCCTGCAGATATGCAGGACAGGTACGAATAAGGCATAGCCAAATAAGACCCGCGGATCAACTGAGGACATGGCATTGGGCAGCAGTAATACCATTACTGGATTAAGGCTGTGGAAAAGTAAAGAAAGTGCTGTAGGCTTAATTCTAGATACTCACAGGCGCCACTCGCATTATGACTTAAACGGCTGTAACACTGTGATGGGGAAGGCAACGAGAAATCAGCCCATAAATAGTCCCTAGTTTATTCATTATGGTTAATGTAAACCAGTTTGGAGAAGGTACTGATCATGGACTTAGGATACCAAGATCTGGCAGGGAGGAAGAACACGATAATGTAAGGCTTCCCAGGTCGTCAACCCACGAAATATTTACCAATATTTAAACACTAATAGAGAAAAGTGTGCACGTAGAACGTTCTAAAAATCTTTACTTGGAATGTTCGAAGTATGTTTGAAGGGGGAAAGATAAACAACACTAAGAGAATGTAGTTTCTGGAACTACTAATTTGCGACGAGATATTCGTGAAGCCTTTCCGTCGCGATAAAATCTTCGACAGTTTTGTATTTATCTAAAGCACATGGCCGCAATTAAGGTACGTGGTAGACCAATATTTTGTACTTGTAATTTTATAATAATTGTGTTTAATGTTAATTTAAGACTCACATAGGCTTACAAGTTATCTATATTTTAAAAAATAACTACTAATACTCATACTAATACTCACACTAATACTCACACTAATACTCAATAACATTCAATTTTATTATCTTAAAGATTATTTTAGTAAACAATAGCTTACTGATTGTTAGATAATACCTGATATATATCCTATAGCTGTGATAGTTGGCAATATAGCACCTCCGCTGTCCTTCTGGAATAAGACTTCCATCAACGCACCAATTCCACCTGTATTTACCACCAACTGGGTCAATTCTAAAGAGTGTTTCACGATATCTCTGACTAAACATGCAGCATTCCGTCGTACTCCGGGACACGGATGAGCGAGATGAAGCAGAACCGTTGGAAATATTTCTGCTTCAACAACTACTTCCGCTAAATCGATAGAATGTTTAGCACAAGAGCCTGAAATAATAAATTTGCTAATTTATTTTTACCAAATTGACGATAATACATTTATATTATAAATGAAAATTTGACGGGATGTCTTTGAGAGCCTGCTAAATTTCTAAAACTTATTTTTAGATAAAATCAAACCTGTTGTCAATTGGGTGGATTGAGTAGCTCAGTGGGATGTTACAGGTCCCAAGGCGGGTAAAGGAGGAAGGCCGAAACAATGGGTTTTTTTTTCATAAAACATAAAACAAACTCATTTTTCATAAAAACTACATACGCTAAATATTTAAAAATGGCGAGCGCAAAGAAAAATGGTTATGATAACGCCGACATGGAACATTCAGAGTTTGAGAACCAAAGAAGTATTTGAAGAACTAAAGAATAATAAAGTAGATCTATCTGTCCTTACAGCGATAAAGAAAAAATAAAAAGGACATAAAAGAAAAGGAGAACATATCCATTGTTATGGGTTAACTATGTAAAACTTCCAAATCGAAGAGAGTAGTTTCTATAACTAGAACTTCGAAGAGATAGACGAACAAGTAACTTTAGTATAAATAGAAAAAAAATGTCACGAAATAGTTATAAGTAGAGCTTATGTCGTAAGTGACGATGCCGACACAAACATAAAAGACGATTTTTTTAATAATTTAAAAAATACTATAAGTAGTATTAAACCAAACAAAAATCTGTATGCTGGGTGATTTTAACTCTGGAGTCTGCAAAAAGGGGAAGGCCCCAGTAATAGGAAAATATAGAGAGGAAAAGTGAGCAACAGCAGGTATTGGGACGGTTGGTTCTGGGAAAATTTTGCCGACCGTGGAAAAAAGAGGCATCCTTTGATGTGCCCACAGGTGTGGCCGGTATACACCGGGTATTGGATCGTGACGTAAGCGGGTTCTTGGGAAAGGGGTGAAGGGGATGGCGAATACGTTTTTTATAGAAAAATTAAAGATAGTAGCATTAGCAAAAGGGTACTATATCATATTTATCTCCGTTGGTATTGGTCCGATTGGAGCGTGTGAAGTGTTAATTAAAAGGACATGGAATAAAGATTATATTAGGATAAAAAAACAAACAAGGCTACTACCAAAAGGGCACTACATGGAATCTTCGTTTTTAATGAACGTATGGCTACGAATGAGATATTACATGGCAGTATGGATGATAATAGATACTCTATAAGGTAAAGTTGCTTTATTGACCTCAAGAAGGCCATTAACTAAGTAGAAAATAAAAAAGTAGCCTAATTCTAACATGCGACATAAAAAATAAAAGGGAGGGCACATAAAAAATATAATAAGATAAAAGAAAGACTGCCAAAAGAGCACTGAATAGCATCTATGTTAATAATGAACGTATAGCGACATACGAGATATCATAGGACACTATGAACAAAAATATATTAACAATGAGATAAATTTTAATTTATTGCCTCTAGCCAAGTTCAAAATAAACAAACGTGATCTGACGTACACCTAACGTAATCTAACGTACACCTTACATGATCTGACATACACTTCACGTCATCAGAAATAGAACGTGACATTTAACATAAAACGTGACATTTAACATAAAACGTGACATTTGACATAAAACATGATCGAATACGTGACGTGGGACATAAAACGTGACATCTAACATAAAACGTGACCGGTCTTACTTCAGCGAATTGATTTATTTTATATTAAATTAGTTGCAGTATATGTACTAATTGCCTTGTTACTAAATAAAGTGTAAAGTTACATTATCTTTACAAAAAATCCAATTAATTCCATTATACTCACTTAATCCAGCAAGGATTTGCTTCTTTAATTTCTCATCAGTATTGCTTAAATTCTTCACCAGATACGGTACAACTCCTGCATCTACGACGCTCTGTGCCAGTTCCATTCCATGTTTAGCAATATCCGAAAGGGCGCTGGTAGTAATTTGCTTGAGAGTAATTTCCGGCTCTTGTAAGCAAAGCAGAAGCAAAGGTACAGCCCCAGCATCCACGCAAGTTTGAGCTAACGATTTGGAATGTCTCGAAATGTAACCAATGCCCCACGCTGCAGCTTCTTTAACCTATGTTTAAATTTATGTATGGTAAATGTAAGAAATTAAACTCAATATAAACATAAAATTCAATAGAAAACAAAATTAGTTAGGATAGAGTGAATCAATGGTTTTTAAACTTGGACGTTTAAAAAGAAAAACATGAAAAAAACAGCAAAGATCCAAAGAGCCATGGAAAGGCAAATGCTGAACATCAGGCTATCAGACAAGAAAAGAAATAATTGGATCCGCAACAAAACAAAAGTGACCGATGTATCAACGCAAATAGCAAAACTTAAGTGAAAGTTCGCTGGACATACCATAAGACAGAAAGACGACAGATGGAATAAGATGATTATACACTTAAGACCATATAGTTACAAACGAAAAAGAGGAAGACCACAAATGAGATGGTTGGATGACTTAAAGAAACACGTAGGCCCGAAGTGGATACAAACTGCCTACAATAGAGAGACGCGGAAGAAGGAAGAGGAGGTCTATGTCCAAAATTGGACAGCAAGGTCTATATAGATAGATAGAGTGAAGCAAAATGGTATTTTTAAGTTTTATAAACTAATTTTTTTATTTATATAGCCTATGTCTGATTTCCTTTTGTAATCACTTTTTTCTTCTGCTTCTGTCGGTGTAATTACTGCCAACATTTATATAAGAAATCTATAATTCTATTTTAATTTTATTAATTAATGAGTTGTTCATTGTTCGGTCTTTTTCTCCATTAAATTTTTTTCCAAACCTTACTTTGCATTGCATATAGGTCGTGTTTACGATGGATGTATGAATCGATTGTCAGCTCTGTACTTGTCCACGAATGTAATGCTTGCAATAATGGAATTAAATATGGATGATTTTTGAAACATCTTGAAAAGGTGTAAATTGTGCTGAATTAGCGGCCTTAGAGTTTTTTCTATAGATATCGCCTATAGATATTTATCTAAAATTTATGTCATATAAATTCTTGTATCTAATTGAAAGATCTGGAACATGGGTTGGGAAAAGACTGGTTGACAGGAAAGTTAAAATTCGTAATAAAGAAGGGTGTGTCCTGTGATAGCGATGCCGATAGACTCACATACTCCGGTCGGGACCTTAAATCGGTAGGATACGGCCATAAGGAGGCTAACTACTTCTTCACACATTTCCTTACGCGGCACGGCTCTGTCAGAGACTACATGGTAAGGATAGGGAAGCAAGAAGACGGTAACTGTATTGATTGCGGGGTTAACAACACGGTGGAACACTGTGTGTCCGATTGCAAAAGGATCAGGAACGAGAAAACGGGGCTGTACAAAAGGGTGGGAGAAGTTAGAACTAATAACATCATGGAAGTGACAGGAAAAGGAGAAAATGAATACAACGAAGCCCTGGGGGCAACGACTAGAATAATAGAAGGGAAAGAAATGCTAGAAAGGGAACAACAGCAGGCATGAACGCTAAAGGGAAAAACAGAAGACAAGAAAGCCACGCATGTGTGTTAGATCTTAGCAAGACAAGCAACAAGACCGTGCGTGTGCGTGAGAGTTGTTTTAGTTAATAGGCAGCCCATCATGGACGCACCCGAGGGCACTATTTCCAACAGTGGAAATGTATATGGACGTATCCTTTTACTCTGAATCCAACAAACGTCTTTAGAAGGTTTTTACACTCTCAACAAAAAAAATCTCTGGGTAAATTAATTTCAAGCAACCGACTGAAAAATTTGGTAGTAATATACTATCAAAGTATACAGCACAAAAACTTAAAAAAGCAATAGAACGATCAAGAAAAAAAGCAAAATAAATGAGTCTAGAATTAAATTAGGAGAAAACAACATATAACGAAAGGTAAAGAAAGGGATAACTGTTAGTAAAAAGTGTATATATTCTGAGCTTTTTAAATATTAGGGTAAACGCTTACACCAGACTCAAAATCTTCTAAGCATCCTATTAAAGCCTGCAAACCTCCAGCATTTATAACTTGTAACGCACAATGGGGACTATGTCTGCAAATTGATCGCAATACAAACAGTCCGGCTCTTTTCTGATATTTCTAAAAAAAATGCATAATGTGTTATTTTATTTTTAAATGCTACTTACAAACTTATTACATTTCCAGTATAAATTGAAGAGAGCAATATTGAAATAAAGCCTTGGTTAATACAACTCTCAGCGATTGTACTGCTGTAATGAACCAACCTTCCTACAGCTATAGCGGCACACTGTTGGATTTGAATACATGGATCTGCAAGGAGAGGCTTCAGTAGGTCTAAAAATATAAGTCATTCGTTGGTAAGTTTACTGAAATATTAATAAAACAACATAATAAAACAACAACATATAACGACAGGTGGAATATAAATTGGCTTAGAGCACAAACCGGGGATTATACTAAATACGGGGATTATACTAAACTATAAATGCGCCATTTTTACACAAAAGTATAACGTATATAACGTAAGTATAAGTAAACAATAAAAATATTAAGCAATTACAAACTAAAACAATTTAAGTAAAATAAAATGATCTAAAGAAATTGGCAAAAATATTACATAATTAAACTCACTGGTAAACAAACTCGTTTATTATAAGAGATTATGCTTGGAATTTGTCCTTTTAACTCCATTAGAAAGCTCTATGTAAGAAATTTTGAAACTCGTAGAAATGTGATAAAGTAGAAGATTGTAAAAAATAATTAATTATATTATGCTTACCCAATGTACCGCCTTTAATTAAAAGTTCTGTATTTTGCTGCCTTGCAGCTAAATCAGAAATTGCTTGGACAAATGCCAGTCGTGCACGTTGGTACTGATCAAATATTAGAACAAGGTTCCTATTTGACATGGTTTTAAACTTTCATTATATTATAAATTCAGATTGCAGTAATAAATTTAAATAAAAGCTTCGTCTTGACATTTATTAAAATGACATAAAAACAAACAATGAATATAAAGAGAACTAAAGTATTTTATAGTCTATTTCCTTCTTTATTTGTCTATTACATATATAGTCTATTATATTAAATTTAAGGCCAATATCTCAAAGTTCACTAAATTTACACAAGTGATTTTCGAGACTTTCCCGATTAATTTGTTAATGGGTATCAATCCGAATTCATCTTCTTGGGTTTTATAGTTGTGTAACTTGGTGTTTTCCACAATCTTATCCATTCTTTTCTGTCTCTTCATATAGCTCTCCTGCTTTTGTGTCAAAGCTTTACCTGTTCCAGATCTCCATTTGGTGATTTTCTTTATAACTGCCTCTAGATCTCTTTTTTTCTAGATGTTCTATCCGATTGGTTCTTGGTGGTTTGATAAATCTGATATTGCCTGTTCCTTTCAAAACTTTCGTTAATTCGTGGTTAACCAATTTCCCAAATTCACCATGACGTAGGTTTATTGGTCATTTATTCATTGCTATTTTATTATTCTCTCGTGGATCCTTAGTTTTACTTTAAGCAGATTGTTATATTGCTACATGCGATTACTGGTCTAATTGTTACTCGGTAAATTTTCAATTTAGTATTTTTAGTAAGCCGCTTATCTTTGAATTTGATTACCGTCACCCGTAAAACGCTTTACTTTAATATGTGCGTAGTAATCTGTTAATAACAAGGAGAAAAGGAATAACATGGATAAATTGTCAACAGAATAAAGTTCACTCCCCAAATAAAAAAAGAAGACGAACAATAGTCAAAATTTTAGGTTATGTATATTTACTAAAAAAGATACTAAAAAATCTATTATTTAATTTATTTAGTTACGAAATAGATAAAACATTGTCAGAAAAAGCATAATGATACTTTCCAGAATAACCACAGCTCGATTAAATACTTTTTCAAAGGTAAAAAGTTTAGTAAACAATCGATATTTATGTTTGAAATTAATATGTGCTTTTAGGCCTTATACTCAAGTGGAGCAGATAAAATACCCACCAATAAACTTGAAAACGTTATTTCAGCTCATAGACAGGACACAAATGGAGTAGTTTATGATAAAAAACCTTTTAAAATACCGCTAGAAGCAGGTAAGAATCTTTGCTCTTTTAATTATTTTTTTGATCTTTAGAGTTCTTAATAAACTCCTTTAACACTTGATCTTGATAAACTTCAATATCTCCCAAAGCGAGTAGGTACTAAGGATCATCCTATGTCAATATTAATACTATTGTTATCTTTGGTATTTAACCCTGAAAAATAGTATTATAAATTGGGTTTTTTTGTTCCATTTTAAGAAATTCGGTTGTATTTTTTTGTATTTAGTCCTAAATTTGTTAATTTGCAATGCTTTGACATTATCTATATTAGTCATTTTTATTCTTTAAATTTAGAAAGTTGTAAATAAAAATCTTTAGCAGTTTGTGCATCAAAATTATAAAAATATGTTTTCAAAAGAATATACATATATTAGATTGAACTAAAAGTTTTGGAAATTTCACATGAATTTGTTCTATTTCCAGGTAAAAGGTACTCGTGGTGCTTATGTGGAAGAAGTAAAAGCCAGCCATTATGTGACGGAACGCATAAAAATATCCATATGAAAATAACCCAAAAGTAAGTTTATTGATTTGTCAAAGACTTTAGAAAGTGTGTAGGTGATGATTCACTGTATAGTGTAGGAATAATTATCTTAAAATGTGTCACTATATAATTTTCTTGTGATAGATTACTTTATATCTCATAACAGAATAAAAGTTTACATAATATACTGATAGTAAGACCTCCTAGTCTAGATAGCTTTTCAATACTCTTAATGAGTATACTCTTAATTAGCTCTTGAGTAGCAGACTCTATTAAGATTTTTTGCCTCATTTTGTATTTGTTCCCAACAATTTAGGGTCTGCTCAATATGAAGACCAAGAAATTTAACTGATCTAGCAGGTTATGTGTTTTTGACAGAAAATTGACTAGTAGATTATATTTCTGCCAAAGCTGATTCTGTTTTTAGCCATTGAGGCCTCTGGCTATATTAAAGGATACCTTTCCAAATTTATAATATGCGTTAAAATTAACAACCCTCTATGCATTATATGAGACCTCATCAATCGTATAGACTAGGATTTGTGCATCCCCCTGATCTTTCGATTTTTCAACAACCAGTCTTGTGTCTTAAGGTCTTGATTTTGCCTCTTTAGACATCTTCTGATGGTTTCCTCATCACCCTCTTTCTCAGGACGCACGTGAGAACAATGGGTTGGGAATTTTATTGGGATAAACTATATTTAAATTTGCTTCTTCCCACAGACCCTCCATAGTCCATTTTTTTGTATACTTGTTAGCAATGTATTACGGAACTACAAAAGATCATTCTGACCTCCAATAGGAGCCTCATTGCTTGCTTCCTTTTCCATCAGTCATTTTTGCGTCTTTCCTCATATTTCTTTGCCTCTTTATTGAGTTTCAGAGAGGCATTGTTTGAGACTTACTAATTTATTTTTTAAATTTAAAAATCTGAAATAATATTTTATAATTTCTAAACTTGTTTTTTGATTGAAATACCTTAGAATTTTTTTGGGCTTTCTCTTCAAGTGATTGACTCCTACTTAATTTTATTTATATTTTAAAAGAAGAGAGTTTTAATTATATTATTTTTAGATTTGTACACATTTAGATTAAAAATTTGAATCACAATATTTTTTCTAAAAAGATTTTTTAAAAACATATGATGCATGAGTAGGATTTGATCTCTAATTTTATAAAATCAATAATTTAATGTACTACTACTAATGTGTTACTAGTATATTTTTATTATTTCTGATTTATGATTCACTGTTTTCCTGTTATTTTCTATTCTTAAAATTTTTATTTATACAAGGCTGTTGAACCATATTATTTCATTAAATGTTCGTAAAGTTGTTTTATCTTCACCATCTATCAGATATTGCAATATTTAAATCATTTACTTACATTCTTTTTAATGTTATTAATTTAAACACTAACTGTTTTAGGCCAGTGAGGTTTGTAGTAGAAGAAACCAAAGAATATTGGTTATGCAACTGTAAACACACGAACCACCGCCCATTTTGTGATGGAACTCATAAAGCAAAGGAAGTTCAAGATGCCACTTCAATAATTAGACAATGATATATTTTAATAATTTGTAGGTAGTGTAAAACAATGGCAATTTTAATAAACGTTATTTGTTATCAAAAAGTATAAAATATTAACATATCATACAAAGAGATGAAAAACAGGGTTATATGATAAGGTGGAATATATTATCTTCTGACTCACACCTTTCCTAAAAATTCTTCAATACCTTCGATCCAGCGAAGATGTAGAAAGTGACGCTCTGTGCCAGACTCAAATAATTGCACATAATCTCGATTTTATACTCCTGGATTCATTATTTGAACAAAAAGGACAAATAGAACCGGTTTTAAATTGTTGATCGGGAATGTTATAGTTCGTCATTTGTCTCTTCTGATGGCGAATGTTCAGTCTTAACATGTTCATTATCATGTTCTTGTATATTATATTGGATTTATGCAGTTGCCTCCATACTTCTGCACAAAATTAACAATAATAATGTCATGGAATTAATGGTAGAGTTTTTTAAAGTTACATTACTTTAATCCAGGGGTCGGCAAGTAATTTTATATGCGGTCCGGATACTAGAAGAAAATTTGAACAAGGTCCAGAAAAAAATCATCAAAAAATTCATTTTTTAAAAAGATGTTTCGCACATATACATTGAGCCAAATTGATGGCAAGTTGTCTGCAATTTTCATATTTTTCTATAATTCACTAATGACAAATCTTCTTTTAATTCAATACTCTCCATTTGAAGTAATGCTTTTGACAGATTAAACAGCTTAGCAGCCACATCTGTCCATTCTGCCGCTGCATCAACTTCAAATGGTGATTTTAGAAATGAAGATAGTTTGCTTACCTGTGCCAAGCCTTGGAATCTTGAAGCAAATTCGTTCCTAAGATCGCCCAGAAATTTTACGAACACTGCAATGTCTTCCTCGGAGTACTCCTTATTTTTATTATATTCAAGAATTGTAGAATGAATGAATTCTTGTTGTGCAATATATTTTTCAAAGATATCCAGCTTACAATGAAAAGCAGACACGCTTTGTATCAGATCATGTACTAATTTTCCATTTCCGTGTAACTCTGTGTTAAGCGCATTCAAATATTTTAAAATATCTTTTAGAAAAGCCACAACCAGCATGTTGCGCCTGTTTGTTATATACTCAAAATGTGCCCTGGCTCCTTGCGTATCTATATTTTGTAAGAAGGAGATCACATGTTCTTTTATTAGCCTGAGACGTTCAATAACTTGAACTTTACTTAACCAAAGAGCATTATTGTGTTGTAGTAAGTCAGAATATGCTGAATCACGCTCAGAAAGAAGCTCCTTGAAATGTCGGTGCTGAAGATCAGGGTGAGATCTCATAAAATTAATTATCTTCCCCAACTGTCCATGACTTATGTAAGTCTAGCATTCAGCTTTCCACAAAGGGTTGCCTGGTGTATTATGCACTCATATGTTATTAAATTTGAATTTTTATCCCTGATCCTCTGTACTACACTTTTTTATTTGCCCATCATTGCTGGGACCTTATCAGTAGAAAGCGAAATCATTTTATTATAACTGATGTTAGAGTTAGAAATTAATTCATCATTAACCTTGAATAAATCTTTTCCTCGGGTGTTACCTTTCAGCGGCAATATTGCTAGCATCTCTCCCTAAAAATCTGTCACTGAATATCAAGAAATCTTACAGAAACAGACATTTGTTCATGATCAACAATGTCACTTGATTCGTCAAGTGCTATGGCGTATCAAGGTGCCTTTTGCAAAATATTAAGAAGAGAGTTTTTAATATCCGCAGCTAAAATTTCCGTTCTTCGTTTATTACCTCGCGCTGACAATGAGATACTTTGAATTGCTGAGGCAACATCTTTTTTTCTTTAAAAAGTGAGTTAGCTACTGCCAGCATACATTCCTTCACTATTTCAGAATCAAAAAATAATTTTTGGTGTTTATTAAGTATCCAGTATACAGACGTAACGCTGCCTCTGTTGATTTTTCTTGGTCGCTCATGCAGCAAACTAGGATTTTTGTGCTTTTTTCGTAAGAATTAAGATATACCCGAAGATTTTCTTAACGCGACTGACTGTCAAGTGGAAAGTTTTTGTGTAACTGCTGATGAGTTGTTTTGTACTGTCGCTTCAAATGTCCACTTTTAACTAAGGCGACAGCTTTATTGCATATAAGGCACACCGAAACTGCTTACGGCCTATCAGGCAATGTAAAACAATATTGTTCAGCCCATTCTGCCATAACTTCCTATTTTCACTGTCCACATTTCTCCTTTTCGGATCCATATTAACGTAGGTACAAAAAGATGTTTTATAAAACGAACGAAAACGCGAGTAATCACAAAATAAATTAACGGTAGTGCGCTACGTGCATGTCACTGACCAACTAGTGAGCCACTCTCAGTCAGTGGGCAGCAGCGTTGCGAGGCCCATAAATTTTATTTCCCCAAATTGTGGTATGTTTATTTATCCTTACTTTTTGAAAATTAACAGCAGTTTTATTTTGAACTTGATTGACTCAGCAATCGATATTCCGCAATTCGCTCCGCAGTTCAACCTTTCGTGGTTCGGATTCGGACTGCGGTCCGCCCGTTGCCGACCGTTAATCGATGGAACCACTACAAAAACTGCTACATCGATAGTACTGACGAGAAGCTTCTGAAGTAGCTGAAAAAAAAAACAGCAGCAATTCAAACGAGGCCTAAATATTAGTATAATTGTAAAGAAAATAGACGAAAAATAGGCTGCTGCCATAGATCTTTCACTTTTCATTCTCCCTCTTACATTCTATGGATACATAAATCCCTCACACGGAATGCCCCTGAGCTACACACAGAATCCTAAAAAAAGGACTGAAAATGAATTTCAGCAAAACTGCAAAACTAAACTAGTGTCAAACAAATATGACAAACTTATGATAAAAATTCAGACTACCGAAATAAGCAGATGTGTAAAAATGGGATGGGCAGTCTTCAGAAGACTCATAAGTACTTAAAAATAAAAATATACTTCAAAGACTGCGAACCAAAGTGTTTAATTCCTGTATCTTACCTGTACTTACATATGGAGCTCAAACCTGGACATTCACTAAAATAAACACGGAGAAGACCAGAAAAACTCTGGTATGATCTGAACTCTGAGAGCTATGGAACGACTGATGCTGGGTATCTCATTCAAAGCCCATAAAACCAATGAAGACATTCGTAATAGAACAAAAGTAAAAGATGCTGTCGAACACGCAGCTAAACTGACATGGAATTTGGCTGGACAAAACGACGTCATAGAAGCAGTGGACGAATTTGTATACTTGGAAGTGCTCCTTAACAGAAAATAATAATACCGCAGAATTTACACGGCCAACAGATGCTATTTTGGACTCAATCTCATCCTTAAATCGAGAAATACAAAAATAAAACTCTACAAAACAATACTACGCCCAGTCCTAACATATAGTTCATAGATCTAAGACTCTAACAAAAAATATTGAAAACATGTTAGGATGTTTCCAAAGAAAACTACTATGGAGCAATGAATGACAATGGTGTGTGGAAAAGAGGATATAACTTCGAACTTTATAGAATATACAAGGAACATGGATATTACGATTATTATTGATAAAACATACTACAATTAAGGACGTCTGAGGTGGATAGGGCATATCATGCGGATGGAACAACTGGAGAGAAATTCTTGAGCTATATATATACTATACTATTTTGAACTTTTATAAGCTTGCTGTGACACAAAAGAAATTGACCCTCCAAGACATTGTTCCTGTCTAGTTAAATTTCCAAAGCTATATATAGCTTAAAAATGGTTTTGTCAGTTTTCAAACAAACTTATTTGTTTGTTATTGCAAACTGATGAACATTTTCAGATAACAGGGAAAGTGGTTAGGTACGTAATATACCTATTTTTAATATAAATTTATTACCTAAAAATAATTTTTTTTAGTTTTGCTTTTGAAGATAAATATCATCTGAATTATTTTACAGTACCTAAATATGGATCGTCAATGTATAAAATATAAAAATTAAATATTTTCTAGTAGTCTTAAAGGGTATGATCTTTCTAAAATGACAAATGAAGAAGTATGAATAATATTAGATTCAGTAGAAAATGATTATTCATCTGACACTGATAATAATTTCGACAAACATTGTGTTGAACAAAAATACAATTCCGTTTACTCTAATACCATCCAGTTAGTCTAACTCATTGTCTAATACATACCTGATAAACGATAAACTCCATTAATCACGAATAAAAATATTTGTTCTATGCAATTTGTACGGATACTCTTACAGATTTGAAATTTTCAATACCTAGTGATAATGCCATCCTACCAGAAAATCCTGATTTTTCTGCAGCATATAATATATATGAAGTTAGTTATGGCAGAAAAGCGGTACATCGACGTAGACTATTCGTAGATCATCAAAGAATACAAGTCATAAGGGTGGTGTTGATCTTATAGATGGTCTACTGGACAGGTATGTATAACAAAACCAGAAAAAGAAGGTGCAAATATTGTTAGATACTCAGATGCATTACATAAACTACAATATGAATTTATGTATTACACCGGAAATAACTGATTGTATCACTTCTCACTCATAGGCAGTTGACTATTTTTCAGATTGTTTTACTTTCTTATTTTTATATCTTGTTCATTAAGCTATGTTTCAGTTTAAACAATAAAGTCCATTTTTTGTTAATCTCTGCAAATTATACCTTTTCTAATTTTCTACACTGAAATTATTATAACCACCTAGAGACAATCTACCTTCTTTCATATCTGGAGGCCAAATTATAATGAGTATTAAAGAATGGACTTAAAATTCATTTTTGTGTCACCAAAATCACTCTAATTAGCAATTTTCAAGAATTTTGAACCAATTAAGAAAAGAAAAGTTAAAGGGTTAATAAAGCAGTGACAAACATAAAACATGTAATACAAAATAGACTAACTGCTGCAATACAGTTGTGTCCCCCAGTGTGACAGAAAACTGATGCAAATCAGTCCTTGCATCTCTGTCTCATTGGTCATTTAGGTCACATGGTCGATAAACCTGGCATATTAGAAAGCTATGCAGGGACTCCTTTGCCTCAGTTTTCTCTACTGCACTGGAGAAACAGGCTAGTATTGCAACAATCAGTCTACCTGTGTGTTTTAATGAATTTGACTTTGTCTAATGTTCTAAATTGCTCCAAATTAATCCAGAATACTGAAGTTTAGACAGGTTTCGTCTTTTATCAATATGTGAGAACAAACTGATGTGTTAATATATCTATTTTACTTTTTGGAATATTTGTTAAACAGGTGTAAATACTGATAAAATAATAGAATCATCATTCTTTAACTTTTACTTCGTAAATATATGTACAACAAAACTAAACAATAAATTCAACCTAGATTAAAATTATTACTAATTTTATGTTTTCGAATCAGTTTCTTCCGGTCGTTTCTTTTCACTTGGCTCTTCAGAAGAGGTTAATTCGTGGTCTAATCTTTCCTTGGCCCTAACAATTTTAGATTGGAGGTATAAAGAAGTTTTTTCATTTGCTTTAAATAAACTTTGATATTTCTCTTCTATTTCTTCCTTCGTTAAGTTCCTTATATTCAATATTTGTTTAGCTTCATCAAGAGATAATCCTAGTTTTTGATTTGCTACCCTTTCAGTTCTAGTTTTAGCATTTCCTAACCTTTGAGCAGCTTGCTGAGAAGCTTCTATTTCTTGTTTAATGGCCCTTGCAAAAGCTCTGCCTATAACTTGTGAACCTGCAATAATTAGTTGTGCTATATATCTGGCCATAATTATAAAGATTTGTTATTTTTTATAAAAATAGAACTTTACCACATAACCTCTAAATATTGCAACCTAATGCGGCTAACCTTGCACGTGAACTGCGTCTTCGCCGTCTTCTCTTTTGTGTAGTTACGTAAGTAATTGTTTTACAACCACTTAATAATAGTTCCATAGAGAAATAACAATGAATAGTTCGGCGGGTGAGATTATTTGAGACTGTTTATTTTAAATATTGTTATACTCGGTTCGCTGATCCGAGTCCCAACTGTCTAGCAAATTCTGTAATTTTTTTTTGTAATTCTGTAAATTATGACCGATTGGCATTGGCTGGAAATTTATACACAAGAAGTAAGCATGCTCAATATTTAAACAAAAAATATTCACATGCAGTTATTAACAAATTAAAATTGCGAAGTTTATTTTTAAAATTTTATAGTCGTTGATAGATTAGTATTTACAAATGCAAAGTTTTAATTGAAAATTAATGAATATTCACTCCCTTTATTCATGATTTTTATCCTTTTTTTGTACAACCACAGAATAATTAACAATCAGAATGCCCACTCTCAGATGATACCGCCTTTGAAGTTTGTCAGCACGCGATCGCTATATTTTAAACGGATATATATATATATATATATATATATATATATATATTATATATATATTATATATATATATCAATATAAGGTTGAATGTTCCAATAATTGAACTTTGTGATGGTATACAAGGCAAATATCGAACACAGTAATTAATTAAATCTTGCCCAAATACTTTCGATCAATAAATCATCCTCAGGGGCATTTCGTCAGTTGTGGCCTATCCAAAATGAGCAGAATGTCATACATGTAAATTTGGACATAACAAAATACAATACACAAAGACAAACAAACACTTTAAAACTGTTAAAAATGGAGAAGCTACATGTTATATAGAAGCCGGAGACAAAATAGACAGTTTCTTATACCATCAAAACAAACAGAGCAAAAGTCTCCATGTATCACAATTCAGCAAAATCCAAGAAGTTTTAAAATATTTATTTATTAAATAAAATAACTGGTTAACTGTTATTTAAATAATGCATATTATAAAGAATTAAAAATATCTACCCTTAACTTTAATAAAGAGTTTGAAAAGCACTTTTCAGTATCATTATCAGACAACTTAATGGGATTTAAATTCTCCCTAAACTACGCCTATGTCTTATGCCTTGATCGCTTTAAAAATAATAACGACAACGACTAACCACAGCAATTTATAAGGCAATTATTTTCATTTATCTATTGCAATGGAATTTGTTTTGTAAATAGATGATGTTAAGGATTATATTCGGTATTGTTAACCAACCCAAGAAGTTGCATTATTGAACTACATATTCGATTTCACAGACAAAGCATTTTTTTCACTACATTTTTTTATTGAGTTATAGATTTGTCGGCTGACCTTGCATATCGCGGTGATACTTATTGGTTAAATGTCGTGTAGGTCTTTATCATATAGATAATGTACACGAATAGTAGCTAGAAAATATTATCAATGTTATTTGTTACTGTTATTTGATAGTGTATTTCTTTTAAAATCAACCGTTGACTGACAAACAGCGGCTTTAAGGTTAAAGATGGATCAAGTTAAAAATGGTTGGTTTAGCGAAATATCCGATCTGTGGCCTGGTCAGTGCTTTTCCTTAAAGGTAAAAGAAGTTCTATATAAGGATAAATCGGATTACCAGGATATCTTAATATTCGAATCGTAAGTACTGTTTAAAATAATCTTGTAACAGTTGTTAATTAAACAGACTAATATGAAAGTAAAAACATTACATAAAACATTAATTTATGATTTTATGCTATTACTACTTTATTTTTATTCCTTCTGAAATTTTAGTTAATCATAAATAATAATTGATCCCAATTTAACAATCCACATCTGAATGAGGAAGTTACTAGTCAACCGTTCTGAATGGGAGTTTACTTGCCTATTAATTTGACTGATTTTACACACGCACATATTATTTAGATATGATGAAACAAAAACATAGTTATAAATATTTTTATCAATTTTAAAAACAGACCAACATTGGTCAATAATGTAAATATATTATTGTATAAGAAAAACAGGAAGTGGTTAACTAAATTACATAGTTTGTCCTTCGCTTAGCATTTTAGTGGGGATTCACATAAGACTGAAACTTTTTCTTCTTTCTTTTATAATAGATTAGTAGTATAATAGACTGTTGGTATAACCAAATAATATAGACGCATATGCATCTATATTCGTTTCATATTTTAATCATTTTCTCTTTTAAATTAAGTAGGTATATTGAATATTCCCATTACAATTTTTCTCAAATAGTCTCTAATTTTTTAATATTCGGTACCGTTTCAATTTTTTTTTTCATTTCACGTTCTTTATTGAACATAAATAATTCAAAATGTTCAATAAAGATGTCAGATATATTGACGTTATTCAATATTATGTATAAATACGTATTAGACTTTGTTTTAAAGGGAAATACAGACTTACGTGATATTTAAATTAAATACCTATGACATTCATAAATGAGACCAGTTAAATTCATCAAACGGTCGGTTGGGTAGTCATCCCTTTGTCTCTTAGAAGCTTGTCATTCTTGTCAATGTCAAGCACAAAACACGATATCCAACGATCTTCATCCAGTAGCGGAACCACATATTATAACTGGGGCGATTAATATTTTTATCATAGAAATAACAATTATTTATATGCCTTGTTTGAAAATGGTAAAAGGGTTTTAAAAACCTTGCTTTATCTACAAAAATATACTAAACACCTTACCAGTTTCGTCTTTTTTATATAGACATTTACTTCGCTATTCAATAGATACCTTCAATACCTAGACCTTCGCAGAGACACAGAAGTTTATTATGCTGTGGCAGAGATACATTACGAAATTTTTGTGCGGATAATAAAAGACAAAGCTGGAAACGAGGGGTGTAGTGTGGCCTAGCGAATATCCTAGCTGTAACCTGTAGTATAAAATTCTTGGGCGAAAGCTATTTTATGAGAACGATTCGGGACTCAAAACTCTTTGCCATATTAGAGTACACGTATTCTCCAGAATTTCTAAAACGAAAGATATAATTTGTTGTGAAACTTTGCTGAAAAATATCGGCAATGAACTTCCTGACAAGTACTTTCTATTGCAGCCGTACCTACATAAAATCGACATCGTTAGCTTCATCGAACGCGTACATCCTATCAGTTAAGAAATAAATATTAATCCAACCAAATCTATCATTGAAAAAGTTATTCACATTCACTAAAAAGAATAAAACAGCTAAGCTTTATTCAGCTGCATTACTTTTTGTAGTCTATATTATTATTTAAAATTTTGGTTCAAATGGTTATTCTTTCAATGATAGTTCACCATGGAAAGATATTGTAAAATGTTATGTCCTAACTAAAATACATATATGTAATATAGTATATTTAAGTATTAAATTCTTTTGTTGTGCAATTACTTTGTGAAACTTTTATTAAATTATTTCATCTTACTCGTTGTGTAATACAAAACTAAAACAGTGTTCATTTTTAGAACAAACAATGGAACTGCTTTGGTACTGGATGGGATCATCCAATGTACCCAAAAGGATGAATTTTCATACCAAGAAATGTTAACATTCCTAGCTTTGTGTTGCCATGATAATCCCCAAAGGGTTCTTATTGTTGGTGGTGGAGATGGTGGAGTGGCCAGAGAAGTTCAGAAACATCCACTTGTAAAGGAAATTGTTCAGGTAACTTGGAATTTTTTTTTGTCACTGTTCAGTGACAATAACCTATTAAATTATAATTTTAGGAGCAAACTTATTTGTGACTCTAATATAATATTTATAATAAAAATTTATAATTCTAAAATCTTGTTGGTAGATCGCTTGGAGTAAGACGCTTTAGCCTTTTGTTTGCCTGGGGCCTCATAAGGTTCTTCGCTAGCCTATTGGGGTGGTTTTGCAGTGGTCTGTCATATTTTTGGGAGTAACTAGCAATTTCTTTTTTGACAGTTTTCATCTGAAGATAGCGGTTAATGAATTCATTGGGCATGTACCACGATGCATTTGTAATAAGGCGCAAGGTCTTCGGTTGGAATCTATCCAGTATGTCGATATTGGATCTTGACGCAGATCACCACAGTTGGATCCCATAGCTCCATATTGCCTTTATCACTGACTTGTATACTAGGATTTTATTGTACAAATTCTGTTGTGATCTTTTCCTATTAGCCAGTACATTTTACTGAGTTCCAGACCCAACTGTTTTCTTCTCGTGAATATGTGTTTCTTCCACGTTAATCTGCGGTCCAGGTGCATACATAAGTATTTTACATCATCCTTTTCTTGTAGTATTTGGTTATTTAATGAGACGTTTGGGCATGTACCTTTTCGATTAGTGAACGTTGTATGTACTGACTTGCTTTCGTTAACTTTAATTCGCAATGTTTGTAACCAAATCTTTATTTTGTCGAGATTGGTCTGGAGCAGTTGTCAGGCGATATACGGGTTTGAGTGAGCCGCAAGGGTTGCTGTGTCGTCTGCGTATGTGGCTGTGACGATGTTTTGACTTGTAGTCCAAGGACACTACCCTAGGGTACTCCAGCTGTAATTGGATATAAGTTAGTGCACTGATCCTTTACTTTTACAAGGCAATCCGGTCGGAAAGACTTGAGGATTAGAAAGTAGTTTTGAGGAAGGACTTGTCTTATTTTGTATAGCAGGCCAGTGTGCCAGACTTTATCAAAATCCTGCGAGATATCCAAAAATGTTGCAAAACAGTATTTCTTCTCTTCTAAGGCTTTGTTTATGGAATTGCAGATTCGGTGAATTTGCTCAATGGTAACATGCTGTTGTCTAAATTAAAACTGGTGGTTGGGTATTGGGTGGATGGCTGTAATCTGTCTAGTAGTAGTTTTTCAAAAACCTTTGACATCGCTGAAAGTAGACTGATAGGTCTATAGGACTTAACTTCGTCTACATATTTGCATGGTTTGGGTATTAAAATGATCTGTGTAACTTTCCACAAAAGAGGATAGTAACCA